CGGCGGCGAACAGCTCCCCCCCCTTAACACGCCGGCGGTAGCGCGCCGGTTTGCCGAGGGGCTGGGCCTCCCCGCTGCCGTGGTGTCCGACGTGGAAATCCTCTCGCGCTTTGGGGTAGGGGGCCCGTCGCGTCCCAACCCGGCGACGGCGGCTAGGTGGAGGAGGACGCGGCGCATGAAGCTCAGGGAGTTTCGGAGGCACTGGCGCCGGGAGAAGCAACGTGGCGGTGGCAGCGGTGGCTTGAGGAAGCGGGCTAAGACCACCGGGACAGCGATAACCGTGAAGCGCGAGTTGGGGGGACACGGCACCGAGGAGGAGCGGGAGCAGGAGGAGAGCAACGGTAGCAGCGGTAGCAGCGGTAGCAGCGGTAGCAGCGACAGCGACAGCGACAGCGACAGCGACAGCGACAGCGACAGCAACAGCGATCGCAGCGACAGCAGCAGCAGCAGCAGCAGCAGCAGCAGCAGCAGCAGCAGCAGCAGCAGCAGCGACAGCGACGGGGGCGAGGGTCGCGACGACGCCGCGCGGGCGGAGGAAAGGCTCCGCTGCTTCCTCGTGGACGCGAGCCCGCTGCACGCGATGGCGCTCGTGGTTGCCGCCGCCAAGGGCCGGCCGGACTGGGAGTCGTGGACGTACACGCGCCCGGCCCTGCTCCCACCCCCCGGTGTTGCGACGTCGTGTCCGGCGGCGGCGGCGGAGGGGAAGAGAGGAGGAGAGCCATCGTCTGTCGCGGTGATGGCCGACCACGATGGTGATGACAGCGCCGGCGGCGGCGGTAGCAGCGATGATGAAAATTATGGCGCCGGTGGTACAGGGATGCGGTCTGCCGCGCGCCGAACCAGCGACAGCTGGATAGCGCCCCAGCTGCGACTAAGGTCTAGAGGCGGCAATAGCCCCGACGCGGCAGCGCCCGCGGCAGCGGCGGCGGCGAGCTCGACGTCCCTCGTTGGGCTCCGAGGCAGGCGGCAGTCGCTTCCGGCTGGCTTGACGGGGAGGGGAGACAGAAGAGGAGCACGGGAAGAGGAAGGGTTGGAGCCGCCGGCGAGCGGCGGCGATGGCGGTAGCGGCGTGTTCGGTCCGCCTTTCGTTCCGATGCACCGGGAGGAGCTGCGGCTGCTGCTGAGGTGGAGGCTGCCGGAGTACCTGGGGTACGTGGAGGGGTGGCTCGGGGGGGAAGGGAAGTTCGGGGACTGGCTCGGGAACGCCCACGTGCTGCCGGTCGCGCTCGAAAGCCTCGCGGAGGAGGTGAGGGCGGGAGCGGTTTTTGTCAGCCTGCTGCTGACGTTGTGGTGGTTATCGCTCCGGTTGTCGTTTTTGCTGTTGGTGTTGCTGCCGCTGTTGGCGTCCTGAGTGGCTTTTTTCGTCGGCAGTTGTGTTGTTGTTGTTGTTGTTGTTGTTATTGTTGTTGTTGTTGTTGTCGTTTGCTGTCGTCGTCTTCGTTGAAATTGTCAGCCTTTCTATACGCAGGCGTTGAAAATGTGTTTTTTCAGCTACCGCAGCCTGCAGCCTGTCGTGTGCGACCAGATCCGTGTTTACCCTGGCGCGATTTGCCCGCCTCCTTCCGCTGTTTAAAGGCTTGCCATCGCGTTTGATACCATCATCAGATCGAAGCAAGAAGAAGAGCCGACACGTGCGCAGAAGGCGTCAGAGGACCAGCGGCGGCGGCGGCGGCGGCAGCGGCGGCAACAGCGAGGCACTCACGCAGCAGCGGCGCCAAGGGCGGCAACGGCGGCGCCAAGGGCGGCAACGGCGGCGACGGGGGCGATGAAGTCGTTCTCATGGGCTGCGTGCGAGCGGCCCAGGTGGCCGCCAGCTGTAGTAGCCTTGAAGGCCACCATCCGGCCGCAGGTGCCTGTGCCGATGACAGGGACAAGGACGATGACGACGGGAGCGATGGCGGAGGTGGCAAGGGCGAGGGCGGCGGCACGAGAACGAAAAAGACCAAGGTGCGGCGGTGGTGGTCGAAGTCTCACTCATGCCACCGGTATTGCATAGGGTGGAGCGAGTCAAACGGCCAAAGTTCGCCCTGTTCCTTGCGCCGGCAACACGAGAGGTGGTGAGAAATAACCAGGCGGTACAGTTTGAAGCCCGCCCATCCCCCCGCCTTCCCCCCACCCTCCGAAGGCGGGAGGATGCCTTGACCGCTTGTCATCAAGAGGGTGCAGGCACGCAATCACCAATAAGAAGATACCGCAAGGCCGGAAAGGCTGCGATGACCCACGTGTCGGTGACCAATGATAAGCACTCGGTATCGGCTATCCTTCCCGAGCCCGAGCGGTGGTTGACCACATACATCGTGCTCAGGTTGCGTGGAGGTTTTCTCACGAAGCAATACAGAGAAAACATCTCAGTACAACCTGTCGTGTCACTATCGACAACTGGACGACAGCCATTGCGTGCGCGATGTTCCCCGAGACGCGGATAGCTGTTCTTGAAAGGTACCGGAGTGTTCTCACCCTCGTGAGGACGCCACCAAAAGAAGATCGTTGCACGACCTTGCTGATTGGCTGACCAACGAGAAATAAACCAGTCTTATACAGTCTTCACCTGTTGAACCTCGCAAGATCGGTCGCTGGGGCCATCTCCAGGCGGTGTACCGAAAACAGAATCGCGAAACCAGACGCGAACGCACGTGCTTGGTTCTGCGTGTGTCTTTCATTTTCGACGGCGTTCAGCGGCTGACCCAATGAACGGAGGTTGACCGTTCAGCGGGAAAAAGAAAACGCTAATCCTTTGAGCGCTCGGGCTTCCTCGACAGTGGGGCGGCGGAAGACGTGGAGGCTTCTCTTCCAGCAGCATGGATTGCCCTGGGGACTAGCCTAGTGACCGACCAATGGAATGGCCTCACCCCCCCACCAGAACCGATCGACCAATGAAATGACGTCACGCTCACCCCGACCGACCGACTGGCCAATGAAATGACGCCACCCTCAACCGAATCGAGCGACCAAAGAACAGATTTCACACCCCGCCGCCCCAACCCGAGTCGACCGCAAAAAGTGAAATGACGCCACAATCACCCGAACCGACTGACCGACCACTGCCATGACGCCACAATCACCCGCCCCAACCGGCCGACCGATGATGTGATACCAGACGCCATCCTCACCCGAACCGATTGACCAACGAAATGACGCTGCCCCCAACCGACCCAAACCGAACCGACCAATGAGGTGAGGCCACCCCGACCCGAACGGACCGACCAATGAGCTGACGCCATGTCCCCTGTCCCCCTACCCGGTACCAACGTCGGTGCTTCAGATACGGATGCCGATGAACCGGGAGCGGATTAAGAGTCGCGTTAGCGTGCGGAGCGCCAGGACGTACGACCCCAGCAGGCTGGGCCCGACCGTGGTGTACGACCCCTCCGACCGGATAAGCCGGTTTCACCCCCGGTACGAGCTTCTTATCGAGGCGGGGTCGTTCTACCTGCAGGTATGAGAAGGGTGTTTGACGCGAGAGAGAGGGGGGAGGGAGAGAGGGAGAGGGAGAGGGAGAGGGAGAGCGGCGGAGAGAGAGACAGTGAGAGAGAGGTTTGGAGAATTGTTCTTAATTTTTTTTGTCATTTTTTTTTTTTTTACTTTCGACAATTGCAGATGTACCTCAGAAAACTTTCACTTAGTGTCTCATACTCTACATGAATATTAAACCAATACGAAGTACAACAGCATTTATATGTAGGACTTATTATTAGTGTCACTTACATCGTAAAAATATCTCCACTTCAATTTGAAATAAAACCAATGACAATCCTCATGGTATCCTACATGCGTTCGTAAGCTTGCTATAGTACTACTGCGTTGATATCCCCTTGTAAACGCTGAACTCCAACAAATGCTTTGATCCATGCTACATCTCCGTGTTGGAAAAGCCCTTTCTTCTCCGCCCATGATAACATGTTACCCTATTCTACGCAAATCTGTCACATCTCCTCTCAAGCAAGACGCCAACTTCAAACGAAAACGCGTTCTACGATGCGTCTACACTCCATCCCCGTATCATTCGTTCCGGGCACGACATCGTATATGAGGTACACGTTGCGGCTGGGCCTGCTCCACCAGGAGGTTGACGAGATGGACACAGGTTTACCGTACTATTGCACTCATTTTGTTTTGTACTGTCTTTGTTTACATGTTTGTTTTATTGTTATATTCACCGTCTAGCCTATGAGTTTGGGACGTTATGTATTCAATGCAGGTGCGACCGGACCTCCGTCACGATGAGGTCTATCGCTTTGCATTTCTTCACTATTTTTCATCATGCTTTTCCCTATTGTTTGTTTTGTTGTGGACAAGTTATACTTCGAAGCACAAAACAATACAAGCGCGGCCAGATCTCCTTGACGATAAGATCTATCGCTTTTTGTTTTTTGCGTAAAAGTATTTTTTATTGTTTGTCAGCTACATTTTTCTTGTTTCGGACATGACATACATTGAGGTGCGGCCGGGCCTGCCCCACGAAAAGGTCGAAGAGGTGGATCACATTTTAACTTCTATATTCTTAATTTTTTTTTTGTTAATACTTTCACATTTTATTTCTGTGCTGTTTTTCTTTGTTTTGGACACAACATGCAATACAGGTGCGGCGCCGGACCTTTTTCATGAGAAGATCTATCGCTTTGTCTTTCTTTTTTTTTGTTTTGTTGTTTTCGGTTTTCATTTATCATTATATTTTCCCTTGTTTTTGACACAATCAATACAGGTGCGGCCAGACCTCCTCCACGATAAGGTCGAAGAGCTCGATGCCATCCTCATCGAGCAGGCCAAGAGGTCTCTCCGTCGCCAGGAGGCCCCCACCGGCTTCAAGGTCTGGGAGGGCCTGGAGAAGGACGATCGGCGACGGCGCCGGGCGCGAGCCCGGAAGGAGTTGGAGGCGAGGGAGAGGCACGCGCAGCGCTGGATGGGAAACGTCAGCCGCAAGCGGCGGAGGCAGCTCGTCAGGGAGAAGGTGAAACGGGAACGGGAGGAGGAGGCGCAGCGGGAGCTGCTGCTGCGAAGGGAGGAAGAGGAGGAGGAGGAGGAGGAAGAAGAGGAGGACGATGACGAAGAAGAGGAAGGCGCGTGCATGATGATGGGGCCGCGCCCCGAGGCTTTGACTTACTTTTTTTGTTCTCCGCTTGCTTTCGCTATGAGGCTGCTTTTTTTTCCCGAAATGCTGGTTGCATTTTCGGTGCAATCGTTTTTGCTTCTTTCGCTCTTCTTGCTTCTTTTTTGCGCGTCTCTTATTCCCCCCCCCCCCCCCCCCCCCCCCCCCCCCCC